GCACGCAGCGCCACGCCGCGCCTGCACCATGCAGCGGGAGGAATCCACGGAGTATGTGGCCAGGGCGAATGCTGTCAGGAAGAGCGCCCTTTACGAATGCGCAGCCCCGTCCAAAAGGATCTCCTTGGAGACCTCTACCCTGCCGCTGGCGGCCGCCTGTCGGGCCCTGGCAGGCGCTGGCCGAGCTGCTGCCAGACGAAGGGGAGAGACGCGCGCGGCAAAAACCACCGCGACGCCGCGCTGAGCGCCCCGGGAGCAGAGGGGAGGGCACTACTGCGTTCCTGCGGAGGACCCCGCGCGGCGGGCTGGCAACTTGCCGGCGGCGGCCCGCGGCGGCGGCTCGACGACGCCGACTACTGCGCCACCTCGCGAGCTTCGCTCGGGCAGGACGGCGCGCTGGCCGGGGCCTGCTGCAGCAGCTGCCGCAGGACTGACGACAGGGCGGGGCAGCGTCTGCGGCCGGCCACTCCGCCCCAAGGCCCACCGCGCTTTCCGCTGCTCCCGCGGGGGGGGGCTGAAGGCGCGGAGCCGCGATGTGGAGGACATTTGGTAGCGCATCCCTTCAGAATGCGGCTTCCGCGCTGGGCGGCAGGTGCTGGCGCCTGCCTGGGACAGGTGGAACTGGCGCTGTCGCGGCGCAGCCTTTGCCGCCCGGGGCGCCGTAGACGCCCCCCCGCCTGGGCCTCGCGCTACCTGCGGAGCCGAGCTTGCGACGGAGCGAGAGGAAGCTTTCCGGGGCCTGGAGGCATAGCGGGGCGACTGCCCGCGGTTGCACGCGGACGGTACCGCCCTGCACAGCGTGCCCGGGGACGCGCGGGCCCTGGCGGCTGCCAGGGCGACGGCGCCGTCGACGCCCAAGCGGAGGCGGACAAGCGGCGCCGCTACCTTGGGCACCGGGCGCCCTGGCCCGCCCTCCCGCTAGCGCTGGAGACAGGCGGGCGCCGCGGGAAGGCAGCGCTTGGCTTCCTGCGCTGGTTCGATCGCCCGGGGCCAAGCGCAGCAGTTCGGCGAAGGCCCGGCGGCGGAGGCGACGGCCAACAACGCGTCGACGGCGCGGTGGGGCGCGGAACTCAGCGTCGCCCTTCGCCGCGCGACTGCCAGGCAGCTGCGGCCATCCTGCGGGCACGACGGAAAGAAGTAGGCCGCCGCCGGGTTGGCCGAGGAACTCCCCGGCTAGACGCGCTGGCCGGGGCGGCGGAGGAGCTGTCCGCCATCTACTTGCAGATGGGCTACCGGTTCGTCGCGGCCCCCGAGGTGCTCAGTGGGGCTGGGCGCGCGTAGGTGTTAGCGCAGACTTTCTCCACGCTTGCAGGAGGAAGGGGAGGGGGATGGCGGGGATGAGGAGGAGGGCCCGTGCAAACCCAATTATCAACGATATTGCAATACACCCCCCGTCCAAGTTCCTCCTTCATTCGTCCCAGCAAGAATTTGTTTTCACTGCTGGACCTGCCCTGTTGGAAGACAGCGCAACACTCCTTCGACTTCAACGCAGCGAGTCAAATTTACTGCTGCGCCCCGACGATCATGCATCGCGCCAGAACGCCATTCCTGGGAATTCAACACAGCGAACCAAATTTCGTGCCAAGGCGTTTCTCGGCAGTCTTGGGACCTCTTCTGGGCTTTTCGGGAGCCGCGTTGGCATCTTGAGGGCCTTGGGCTTCTTAGGGCCTTTTGGGGCCTCTTGGGGCGGGCGGTTGATGATGGTGATACGGATCAAGATGATGATGGTGATCACGACGATGACCGCGGCGACGACGATGATGATGGTGGTGATGATGAGGTTGTGGACTTCGATGGTGGTGACGATGCTGAGTATGTTTATGGTGAGGATGTTGATGATGACGACGGTCATGGTAAGCATGGTATTAATGATGATGGTGATAATGATAACGGTGACGCAGACGATGACGATACTGATGGTGGTGATGTTGATGATGTTGCTGATGCGGATGATGGTAATAATGGTACGATTGATGATGCTGATACCGTTGCTGCTGTTGATGGTGTTGCTGTTGTTGCTGATGAGGATGATGGTGATGGTGGTCGGGCGGCTGATGGGTGATGATGATGCTGATGATGATGCTGACGATGATGCTGATGATGATGAATGTGGTCGTGGTGATGATGCTGATGACGGTGATGATGATGTGATGATGCGGATGATACTGATGATGGTGATGGTGATGTTGATGCTGCTGCTGATGAGGATGATGATGCTGCCGTTGAGAATGAGGACGATAATGACGATGATGACGATGATATTCTTACGTAGAAATTCTGGCTTATACGGAGGAGGCTCAAGCCAGTCAGGCTCAAGCGAGCTAGCCTCCTGCGCCGTGATGCCCCAGGGCTGAACCAGCAAAGACTGTGCTTACTTGGGCGCCGAGGTCGAGGTTACAGTTCTCGTCTTCGGTGAACGCCTGGGTAATTCGCTACGGAGAGCTGTTTTCATTGGGGCACGCTGTTTTCATTGCCACGCGCTGGCGCACATTATCCATCGTCATCTTCTGCCCCCACCGCATGAGACAGGCGGTGGGTTGGTGGTTGGATGGGCGGTTGTGCACCATGTATGATGTACTGAATGTGCGCTCCTGGCGCCGACACGGACCTGGCTCTTGGAGCCTCTAGAGGTGGAGTTTTGCGTTTGGTATTGTATGTTTCCGCAGCGTTGTTGGCGCCCGCGGGATAATTTGTCCCTGGCTGATGTGCGTGTGGTCTTCTGGTGCCAATCAGCAGCTCAGCTCCGCTGTCATGAGTTCCCAGCGTGTCTGTGGAGTTCTTTCGAAGGCTTGCCAGTTGCAGAGTGCTTACCTTGTGCCGATCAGCGTGTGATTATGCATGAGGCTGTGGCACTCTGGTGTCAGTGGCGCGAGGTGCTGTTTTGGTCGGCGGCGGTTCTTTTTCAAGTGGCGCGTGGGCCTCGTCTTCTTCCTACTTCTGCTGGTGGCGGAGTAGCTCTTCCGCGTCTTGGCGTTGTCAACGTTTGAAATTGTACGTGGCTGGCTTGGCTGTGTGCGTGGGGATGCCGCATCCTGGTATCAATATCGTGCAGCCAGTTTGGTTGGCGATCGTTTTCTTTGTGCACTGGTGCATGAACTTCGGTGTCCTGGAGCCTGAGGAAAGGTGTGGTCTGCTTGGCTGCTTGGCCTATCCTTTCTACATGCATCTCAGGCATTGAAGGTTGAGGTTGAGGGTGAGGGTGATAGTGCTGATGCTGATGCTGTTGCTGACGATGATGATGCTGCCGCTGATGATGAAAACGATGGTGATGATGATGATGCTGATGATGAAGGTTATGACGATGATGCTGCTGATGATGATGATGGCGATGATGATGATGATGATGGCGATGATGATGATGATGATGATGATGATGATGATGATGATGATGATGATGATGATGATGATGATGGTGATCGTGATGGTGATTGTGATGACGATGCTGACGGTGATGATGCTGATGATGACGATGCTGATGATGCTGATAAAGATGTTCCTGATGCTGCTGCTGATGATGATGGCGACGGTAGTGGTGGTGGTGCTGGTGACGATAGTGCTGGTGGGTGGTGGTGGTGGTGATGATGATGGTGGTGATGAGGATAATGATAATGATAATGATGATGATGATGATGATGATGATGATGATGATGATGATGATGATGCTGATGATGATGATGATGATGATGATGATGATGATGATGATGATGATGATGATGATGATGATGATGATGATGATGATGATGATGATGATGATGATGAGGAGGAGGAGGAGGAGGAGGAGGAGGAGGAGGAGGAGGAGGAGGATGATGAAAGGAGAAGGATGGGGAGACGGGGAGGAGGAAGAGGAGGAGGAGGAGGAGGAGGAGGAGAAGGAGGAGGAGGAGAAGCTGGCGGACGTTCGCGGAGGAGGAGGAATAGGACATGAGGAAAAATATGATGAGGAAGAGGATGCGGAACAAAAGGAAGAGGAGGACAACGGGTGTGAGGGACAGCGTGAGGGGTAAAGGGAGGGTTACGGTCAGGAATTTTGTTTCTGCGTGTCGCTCCGCCGATTCTGGCCCACCACGCTTCGGCGCGACACGTCAACCACGCCCCAGTCCCTGGGCGTTGATGTCCAGAGTGTGTCCCAGCCTCCCCGCCCGCGGAGAGGAACGACAAGCTATCCGCTTGCAGGGCATAGCGTGTCGTCGGGGCCGCCGCCGCGACACGCTAAGCAAAAGTTCCCAACCGTAAGGGCGACGGATAAGGGAGAGAGTGGGAGGCGGGTGTAGGTTGGTGCGGCGGAACACGAGGGATGCGGTGAGATGGAATTGGGAGGGGAGACGGTTGAGGGCCGGGGGCAACCCCTGACGCTGGATTCGCCGCACTTCGGTTGATTTCTCGACTTGAGATTGTGCCGGGAATGCGCCCCAAACGATGCGACTAAAATCGGGCGGATATTTCTATCTCAGAAAAGTAGGGCGGTTATGATGTCCAGGCCTTGCGGCCAGTGCCGCCGACCCTGAAGAGGGAGCCGGAGGGGAAAGTTTCTGCCAGGGAGGGGTGCTCCCCCACGGGGGGGTGGTCACAACCCCTGGGACCTCCCCCCCTAGTCTCCCCAGGACCCCCCCTCGGACCCCCCCCGGTGGAGAAGGGGTCAAAGGGAAGGGGCTTTCTTTTCGACTCGATTGCGACGTTACTCGATGTATCTTTAGCTGGAACGTTTGGGCCCACGGACAGTGACAGCAGGGGGGAGCGGTGAAAGCGACAACGACGAGGACTCAAACGAAAAAGCTTCTCATACACGCCGACGGGGTCGGTGGATCTCCGCAACGGTACGGCGGAGGCAGCGACGGTAGAGTATGGCGGAGATCGGCATCGAAGGATTTTGAAAAGTAGGGCGGATTTTTAGGCATTTCCCCCTTGCCTGCGAACTCGCCCAGAGTATGGCGGATCCGGAGTCCGCGCCTGGGGGGGGCGCACCGCAGGCCCCCCGGAAGCCCGGGCGACCGCGCGACCAGCGGCGGCTCTCCCTCACGCTCCGGTTCGGGGTGGGCCGCCTTCCCGGCGCTGCGGGCCCCTCGGCGCTGGCCCGGGGGCCCTTCCTGGCGGGGCGGGAGCTCGAGGAGGAGCCCGCGGAGGAGGAGGAGGAGGAGGAGGAGGAGGAGGAGGAAGCGGAAGAACGGGTTGGAGGAGGAGGAGCAGCAGATGGGAGGAGGAGGGGCAGGTTGGATGAGGAGGGAGAGGAGGAGAGGGAGGGAGGGCGGGGGGAGAGGATCAGGAGAGATGCTGAGATGCTCGTGGAGGTGGAGGAGGAGGACAAGGCGGAGGCGGAGAAGGAGGAGAGGTACGAGGAGGAGGAGGAGGAGGCTGCAGAGCTGATGGTCTGTCAACCGCTAGAGCGGCTGCCGAACATCCGCAGACTCTGGAGTGCTTGTGGGCCCGTGGGGCCTCGAGTTTCTGGTCTCGCGTGCGCATCTCGGGCCCTCGTGGGCCTGGCGGCGGGTATCCTTGCGCAAAGAGTGGTGCCAGCAACGTCTCCTCCTTCTGCTCCTCCTCTTCCTCCTTCTTCTTATCCTTATTATTCGTATTCATCTTCGGTGGCCATTTTGGCACAAGTTGTAACCTTCGCCCCGAGGCTGTAGCTTGATCGCAGCCAAGGGGCTGGCTCGAGGGCCCCTTGCCCGAGGTCTGCGCCCTTTCCCGACACCCGCACTCGGCAACTCGTCCCGCGCCGACAGGTGTCCCCGATGCTGCCGACACAAATGCTCTCATGGCCGCTGTCGATGCTGCTCCGATCTTTCCGTCGCAAGAGAAGGGCCCCGCGGGGAAAGGTGGCATTGTTGGTGGCAAAGGTCATGGTGACGGTGTTGTTTGTGTCCCTCCTCGTAAGCGCGCTTGCAGTGTTCGCTCTTCCCCTGTCGCTGAGGCCTCGGAGTTCCTTGAAGCCGACGATAAGTTTTTCTGGGGACTACAGCAAGCAGTGCTGCGAGAAGGTCTTCCATCCCATGCTGGCGGACATGCGGGAGCAGCTTGCGAAGGAGGCATCACGTCGTCCTTCTCCGAGTCCATCGGCGCCTTGAACACGACCTGCCTGGACCTTGTCGAGAAGCTCCGCGAGGAGCTCGCAGCCCAGCCCAAGAAGCTCGATGACACCATCCTGGGTCACGTTCGTCCGCAGGTGGATGCGGTCTCACCCCGCTTCTAGGCCCAGCTAGACTCTCATGGTGGCCGTCTTGATGAGCATGAGAATCGTCTGGGTGAAACCGAGCGTTCTCTTGCCTCGCTTCGTGCTGAGATGGCGGAGCTCCGCCGCACGCTGGCCTTGGCGGAGGCGCTCCCCAAACCTGAACTGCACTTTCCACAAGGGTTTGATCGGGATGCTGATGCTTCTGTGGTCGTCGCTATGGCGCAGAAGGCCACTTGCTCGGGAGCATTTGTGCCTGCCTCACCCCGTGGCTCAGCGAGTTGGTTTTCGACTCTTCAGAGTACCATGCCGCATGCGTTGGCCAGGCGCCTGCTCGGAAGTTCATCTCGTTCTCGGGGTTGGTTGCCCTCGCGTCTCGGAAAGTTCATCGTGTTCTCTTTCGTCTTCGTGTCGAGGGTGAGTGTAGAGTATTCCTTGTCGACGTCCCCGGGGCGGAGCTGTGCTGGGTACATTTGGGCCCCGACAAGTCGCCGCGCCATATCCGCACCAAGACCCTTCTTCGCCGCGAGCGGAGCATCATCTCTGTATTGGGTCACGCAAGTAGACCTCGCGTGAGCTGGCCGATACCCTCCTCGAGCCAGAGGCGGAGTCAGTGCGGTGTCTTTACCGTCTGGCGGCTCTTCATGTGTACAACGCCGAGGGCGTCATCCCCGCCCTCGTCCCTGCGTGTAGCATGACGGAATGCGCGGGCGTTGCTCCAGTATGCGGGCGACAAGGGGGGGGGGGGGGCTCAAGCAGGCGTACTTGCGTCGGCTTGGCGCGTCGTCATCTATTTTCAGGAGGTGCACCAGGCTGAGCTCCAGTTACGAGCGTTCTTGCAGAAAGTCGAGCCATCGATGACTATTCATTCGTCGTTCTGTGGGGATGCCCCTTCAGGCCGTGCTCGTGGCGAAGTTGCTATGTTGCTTCGTTGTTTTGATTTCGAAGTTGGGGGACGTGTCACCAGTCACTTGGTGGTCCTTGTTCCTGGCAGAGTTTTGCACGTTGTCGTGGAGGGCCCCACGGCCAGGCCCAACATCTTCAACGTCCACAGCCATGGCCTTTCTAGCGTTGAGGTCGCCACGGTCGCGAGAGGGATCGCGCTGTCCAAAAGGGAGGCGGCGCGTGGACCATCGAGGATCATGACCGTCGTCGCTGGGGGGCTCAACTTCGCCTCCGGGGAGGCGGTGCTGCTCCACGTGCCGCGCGCTGCAGTTCGGCGCGCCGCGAGACGGCATCATTGGAGGGCAGGACAGAGGAGGCACATTCTCGCCCGACTTGTGGAGGTCGAGTGCGCGATGCCATCGCACGATGAAAAAGGTACAAACTCGGAAGCGCGCATCGATCGTCTCTTCGTCACCCTCCCGGGCTGGCGACTCTGTCAGCTGTCTTTACAGGCCGTCACCATCGACGCGATCGGAAAAGTTCGGACCATGCTGCGGTGGGCTTCTCTCTCACTTCCCGTGCTGCTCGCCCCCCTAAGGAGCGCCCGGTTGTCAAGGAGATCTTCCATTGCCCCTGGTATATGGGGCGCCTCCAGGCCATGATTGGGCGCTCTGGTTGGTCGTCGATGTCCCCGCCGTTTCGGTTGGAGCACTGTTACTGCCCGGTGACAGAAGCTGCCCGTGAAACCCGTGATCGAGCGTTTCGCGGCCGTCCCCATCGCCCCGATATCCTTCTGCAGCTGGCCAGGTCCCTGGTCAGAGTCGCTTGGGTGCAAGGTTGTGCGCTGGCGTGGCGTTTGGTGGAGTCCCACCCTGTTGCCGCCGACTGCACAGAGGTGGTGGGCAACCACGTCGTGCTCGTCCGCCCTGAGTCCTTTCACGCGTGGTGGGACCGCCTCCAGTGCGAGGCTGCGGAGCGCGCCTGTTTTCGGCTTCGTGCTCAGAGGGAGGTAGAGGGCGACTCGCACAAGATTCGTCGACGGTGGCGGATGCCTGCGAAGCGCGCTCGTCTGTGGTCCTCGCTGAAGCGGTGCGTCTGCCAGGGTGTGCCGAAATGAGGCGGCGGCGCCATGCGACCGCTGGCATGTGGGCCTTCGGTGGAGCCCCTTATGGGGCCGCGAAGCGTGTGAGGGGTGTCCCGACATGGACACGCGGAAGTCAGAGGCAGGGATGGGAGTAGGGAGGTTGGGGAGGAGGAAGGAGGAAGGAGGAAGGAGTGGGTGACGCGGGGCGCTGTCTCTTCCGAGGATGGTTGGGAAACATCGTCCCAGACGCGCTTTCGATGGCCCCGGGACCCGACAACGGGCCCCAGAGGCCGACGTCGTCGCCACTTCCGCCGCCGCCGCCGCCGCCGCCGCCGCCGCCGCCGCCGTCGTCGTCGTCGTCGTCGTCGTCGTCGTCGTCGTCGTCGTCGTCGTCGTCGTTGACGTCGACCGTCGTCGCCGTCGATGCTTGCTGGACCGCGCTCCTTCCCATCGGCGGCAGCGGCCTAATGGCCCGTAAAACGAGGCGGACGAGGAGGACGGGCGGAGGAAGGGATAGCAACGAACAGGCGCGGACATGAAAGGAGGAGGGGGAGGAGGAGAAGGAAGAGGAGGAGGAGAAGGCGGAGGGAGCGGCAGGAGCAGCAGGAAATAAACAGATGCACGGGGGCCCCAGAGGTCGAAAGCGAGAAATCGAGGAAACCACACCGTCGGAGATGGGGGCTCCCGATGTCGTCGTCGTCTTCGTCGTCGTCGTCGTCGTCGTCGTCGTCGTCGATCCTCCCCCAAGGAGGATCGATGCTCTTCAGGACGTGTGTGAACCCAATGTGTATTTGCCCCGTGCAGCTCCACCGATTGCGCGCAGCCTGTGTCAGCCCTCGTTGCACCGCCTGCGTCGTATCGAGGGGCTTTGGTGGACACGCACGTTTCGGCGGCGAGCCCAGCGGGGAAGCCAGAGGGGGGCTGTTTCTCAGAAGGCTCGTAAGGCCTCCGGCCTGCTGCGAAGTTGTCTAAGCTTTTTCCGAGGGCAGACGGCTTCTCAGAAGGCGCGAGGGCTTCTCAGAAGCCGCGCCGCCTCCTGAGAAGGGAAGCTTTGGGGATCGTCGAGAGGAGCACGCCACGCCGCGGCCCCGCGACGACCCGATGGCAGCCCTTGCTGCGCCATCGGGCGTGAAGCGCCGCCGCTGTGGCTCCCCGCCCTCGGGCGGCGCGGCCGGCGAGGACACCGCCGCCGCCGCCCCGACGACGACGATGACGACGACGACGACGACGACGACGACCGACGACCGACGACCGACGACCGACGACCGACGACCGACGACCGACGACCGACGACCGACGACCGACGACCGACGACCGACGACCGACGACGACGACGACGACGACGACCGACGACCGACGACCGACGACGACCGACGACGACGACGACGACGACGACCGACGACGACGACGACGACGACCGACGACCGACGACCGACGGCCGACGACCGACGACTAACTACGACGACCAACTACGACGACCACGACCACGACCACCACCACCACCACCACCACGACCGACGACCGACGACCGACGACTACCACCACGACGACGCCGCCAGCGGCGGCGGCTGCAACGATGGCGACGTCGACGTCGTCGGCGTGTTGAACGTCGTCGGCGTCCTCGAAAGCCAAGATCTCCGAGGATGTGATCTCTGAAAGCCCAGCGGTTTTTCCTCGATCTGGGCTCCTGGGGCTTGTTGCAGCCCCAGGGCTATCAAACACGGGCCCGTGACTGAAAACTGTCCCCTGGGGAGGGTCCCTTGGGGCCGCGGGTAGGAGGATGTCTGGAGCGTTGAGGATCGAGACTCCGAGCGTCGAGGCTCCGAGACGCTCCGATGCACTGGGGGGCCCTTCTGGGCCTCCGCGTGGGCGGCCTTGCGGCCGCGGCCAGATCCGCCTCGTGGACATCATCGCCGTCGTACTCGTCGTCGTCGTCGTCGTCGTCGTCGTCGTCGTCGTTGTCGTCGTCGTCCTCGTCGTCGTCGTCGTCCTCGTCGTCGGTCGTCGGTCGTCGGTCGTCGGTCGTCGTCGTCGGTCGTCGGTCGTCGCCGTCGCCGTCGCCGTTTTGGAGGTATTCGGGCGTTTTTTCTGGGGGGTCCCGTTGCCATGGCTGGGCTGGGGCACGAGGAACAGGGATGCATTTTGAATACAGTTCTTTCTTGTTTGGTGGAGTTTAGAGCACAGGATCGCGCTGGAGTTGTTGTTCGACTTGGGCCTCAGTGGCCCGTCTCGTGCCCCGAAGCCGTGCAGGAAACGGCCAGGACGGACTTCAGAAGGGATTCTATCATCATTCTGAGCGGAGTTCAGAGGGGGAGTGGCATCGAGGTCCGAGGACATGGTATTGTGAGCGGATTTCACTCCCTCTTGGGCTCCGGGTGTCGTTTTGTCGCCACGGCCGGGTACCCCTTCGAGTTTCTGGCCCAAGCGCTCTCCTGGCAAGGTCTGGGTGGGGGGATTTGAAGAGAAGGGAGGGGGAATGGAGTGACGGTGAAGAGTGTATGAGGGGGCACCGATACGGAAGGAGGGGCTGATGGTTAGGAGCCGAGCGAACCCAGATTCGCAACGCAGGAGGCAGCGCCTACGAGACGGGACGGTGATGATGATGATGATGATGATGATGATGATGATGATGATGATGATGATGATGATGATGATGATGATGATGATGATGATGATGATGCTGATGCTGATGCTGATGCTGATGCTGATGCTGATGATGATGATGATGATGATGACGATGATGATGATGACGATGATGATGATGATGATGATGATGATGATGATGATGAGTGCGATGGCGATGATGATGCTGATGATGGTGATGATGATTGTGATGGTGATGGTGATGGTGACTATGATGATGATGATGATGATAATGACGATGCTGATGATGATGAAGGTGCTGACAACTGTGGTGGTGATGATGACGATGATTATGATGACGATGATGGTGATGATGATGATGATGATGAGGATGAGGATTGACATTTATGATCAGCAGCGAAGTAGAACTTTAAATCGTGAAATAAAACGCTCGAACGTAAAATTGACACTACGTACACAGCTTCCACGTGAAATATACACTTCGTACATATATATATAGATATAAACAAGGCTGCATAGGCGCTTCGCGCCATGCATCTTGTTCCTTGAAGCTTTGGATCGGCTGGCTTCTCGCGGTATCCTGCGGTCCCTTCGAGGGGTCCTCGCGGGCTCGCATTGCGAATGTGCAGAGGTTGCGGAGGGGGAGTGGGAGAACTTGGTGTTCGAAGCAACGAAAGGGGCAAATGGAATGCAAGAAAAGGACTTCAGAGGGAAACTTATCGAATCCCGGGTTCGCAACCAAATTTCTGAAAAAAAGGGTGCGAACCCAGGATTCTGACCAGAATGCAGCTTTATACTGCAAAATATGAGGCAGGGGGGTCGCGGGGAGGCGTGCTGACGCGACTTTGGGACAGGCAGGCTCTACGAACGTTATGTATGGGCTTCGTTCGGAAGGCTACGATCCTCGTGAGGGGTGCCGTTTCTGAAGGCCGTCTTGGGGCTCTCTGGGGCAGTCTTGGGCACCCCTTGGGCCGTGTCGGGGCTGTCATGGGCCAGTTTCGGACTCGCTTGGAGGCCTCTTGAGCCGTCTGGCATCGGTCTTGTGGGCGGCTTCGGCCGTCTTAGCACGTCGGAACAGTGAACATGCAAAGAAGCAAACATTTTTTTTTTAAGCATAGGAAATCACTGATGTTCATCTCTCGGGGGCTTCTTCGGAGGACTCTGGAAGGCTCTTGGGACCCTCTTGGGCCTTCGTAGGAGCCTCGAGAAAGCCTCTCGGGAGGTCCAAGGAGCCTCGCGTGTCCTCTCACCTTCCTCTTTGGACGGTAAGCGCTAATTTTCGCGCTCGGAGGCTGCGATCCTCGTGAGGGGTCCCGTTTCCGGAAGTCCCGGTTGGGGAGGATCCTATTTCGGGGGGGGGGGGGTCCCACCCCCCAGGATTATAAAAATATAGAAAAGGGAATATTTATATATGTATATGTAAATTATGTATATGTATGTATTGCGTAGTTTATGTTACACCAGAGAGCAGCTCGAACGTGAAAAAGGCACTACGTCAATGCACTACGTCCATACACTATGTCAATACACTACGCGAGTACACTACGTCTGTACACTACTTAGATTACGTCACGCCAGCAGAAGGCTCGAACGTGAAACAAACATTACGGACATACACTACGCAGATTGTGTTACACTAGTACGAAGTTCCAACGTGAACTAGACACTACGTGAACACACGACGTAAACAATGTTACACCAGGGAGCAGCTCCAACGTGACAAAGGCGCTGCGTGAATCCACTCTGACTCTGTTAGGGGGTCTTCCCATTAACGGGATAATTCCCTCCTGCCGTGCATCTCTCTTCTCCTCCCTCGCTCCCCCCCTGGCAGTCGTCTGGCTTGAGCGGCTGCTGCGCAGGGGTTGGGGTGGCTTCCCTATCCCCTCATCCTGCGCGCGTGCACGCGCGCGCAGCTGCCATGTGGTGGTGACCCATCGCGGTTGCGGTGGTGGCCGATAGCGGGCCCTGGTGGGCCGGAGAGAGAGCGCCCCCGGGCGCTGTGGAGGGCGCGGCGGCGGTCGCCGTCGCGGGGCCTGCGTTCGGCCCCGGAAGGGATTCCCCAAGCGAGGACGGGCCTGCCCGGTAGGCAGACTGTGAGGTGCGCGGCCCAGTGGGAGCAGCGTCGGTGGTCGCCGATGCAGGGACCTCACTGCGCCTCGGAAGGGATGCCGGTGGCGGGTCAAGCTGCAGAGAGGACCGTCAGGTGACAAACCCACGCGGGACTTCGGCCCCGAAGGCCGAAGGAGGACACCGGGCGGGATGGGTCTGCTCCCGCTGGCGGCCCATCAGCTCCTCCTACCACGGGCGAGGAGGGGGCGGCGGAGGAGGAGGTCGGGCCGCAGAGCCCTGACTGGCGTGCCCCCGCTACTCCTGTAGGGGAGACGGGGGAGGACGTGGAGGACGAGGAGGAGGAGGAGGAGGAGGAGGAGGAGGAGGAGGAGGAGGGTCCGGCAGCAGGTGCTGGGGATTCTCCCCTGTTGGCCTTCACGGACACTAGTGCTCGACTCAGTCCGGGAGGAGCGGGCCGCAGAAGAGGGCCCCCCGGCGGGGGCGAGGGGGCCGCCGGGAGGACCCCACCCACGGGGCGGAGGGCCCAGCGGCCAACCCCCTTGCCAACAGCTCCTGGCCATGGGCAACGTGGTCAAGCCGATGCGAGGACTTGCTGCCCCATCGGGGCCCAACGGAGATCGTGGCGGAGCTCATCGACGCCTGTGACGCCAGTTCGCCTTACCTTATGAGCCAGTCTTGGTGGGTGGGGGGCACGGCGTTTCAACGGGCCGGCTTCCTCAGCGCGTGGCTCGGGAGGCGCGAGCGGTGGGGCAGCCTTGCCCCGACCAGGCAGCACCTTTGGGCGTGGACCTTGGGAGCCCTGGCGCTCTTCCTGCTGGATCGCTCGATCGTGGGCGGGGCCAACTCACTCCTGTGCCTGGGGAGGCGGCTCGCCGGGGGAAACGGCTCGGGCTTC